TTGTTCACCCCCAAAAGGTCCTAATGGGTTTACCAGGCACCAGCTGTTGTATAATTTGTCTTCCTGGCAGTTAGAACTGCTAAAATGTTCCCTGGGCCTTCCTTTATGTTCCAAAGTACAGGTACATATTTTTTTTCTTTTGGCAAAAATTCAACTGCAACTGGTGCATATATTATGAACACATGCTGTCAAAAGGAAAGAATTCTCTGACATAGAAGGTATATGAGAAATTTAAATGATAAACCACCTTAAAAGGTACTGGGAAAAATTTATACCTCAGTTAAGTGTCTGGCATAATATACTTTAGAAAAATATGAGGCTTAGCTTTTAATAGTTTTGGCACATGGAAAAAGATAAACTAAAAGAGAACCAAATATAATGAAGTGACTAGTTAGGTGTGTTTCTGATTTGGGCATTTACTGAATGGCAATATTACTATGATGTGATATAGAATATCATGAAGCCATTAAAACACAGACATCATTAACATTTAGTTTGATCCATACTTGAAGCCAAGTCATATTATCACCTTTTAACAAAATTATTTAACAGTTGTCATCAGCAGTGGGAAAGCTGACCTATCCTTCTAATCACAGCATCATAAAAGGGTTCCACTTGATCTACCTGTAGGGGTTTGTTTAGTCTGACTGCCAAAATATATATATATATATATATATATATAAATAGAAAATGTATATTTTATGATTATGATAATGATGATCACTGCTCTGTCGATGATTTATGTGAAAGTGAATAGTCAGCTAAACGCAGTGGCACACACCTGTAATCCTAGCAACTCCTCAGAGGAGGCTGAGGCAGAAGGATTTCAAGTTTGAGGCCAGCCTCATGCTGTCTCAAAGAAGAAAATGAAAAAAACTGGGAATGTAGCTCAGTGGTAAAGCACCCAGGGTTTAATCCCCAGTATCATCTTACTCCTACCCCCCCCCAGAAAAAAAAAAAAGTGAATACAGTCAGTCTTCCATACCTATGGGAGACTGGTTCCAAAAGCTTGCCCATCCCCAAATCTACAAATGCTCAAGCCTCTTATATAAAATGGTGTGATATATGCATATAACCTATGCATATCCTTCCATATACTTTATCTGGGGGTGGTTGTGGTGGGGATACTAGGGATTGAACTTAGAGGCACTAGACCACTGAGCCACATCCCCAGTCCTATTTTGAATTTTATTTAGAGACAGAGTCTCACTGAGTTACTTAGCACCTCACTCCTGCTCAGGATGTCTTTGAACTTGAAATCTTCCTGCCTCAGCCTCCCCAGGATGCCTAGGATTACACGCATGCAACATCGCACCCAGTTCTTCCACATACTTTAAATCATCTCTACATTACTTAAAATACCCAATACAACATAAATGCTAGATAATAGGTGTTACACTATATGGAATAATGACAACAAAAAAAGTCTATATGTGTTTAGTGTTTAGTCAGGCATGGTTTTGTTCACCTGTGAAAAATTTTGATCTGTGTTTAACTGAATCTATGGATGTAGAACCCACAGAGAGAATTTTTAAGTATCTTCAGTCTTTTCTAACTTCACAAGGGATTAAAAAAAAAAATCACATGAAATATAAAATGGTTATGTCTTTACTTTTGAAAGGGAAAAATATAAATCTTTACAAAGCATTTTAAATAAGTATTTTATAAAATTTTTCATTTATTTGAAAATACTTTGCTTGAAAGGTTTATACCAAATATTGTACCCTTAACATGTTAATCCTGTTTAATGTTAAAACAGTTGACCTATTTTTATACTATACACAAATGGCAATAGTGAACAGTCGCTTAATATTTTTTCCAAGTACCTTCTATAGTATACCACATATAAACTCCAAGACAAAAAGCTGCCAATAATAAAATAATAAAATTTTAAATGGGGTATTTCTCTCAATGTTTTACTATCAATATTAGAAAACATATTAGGCAAATTTTCCACTAAAGGGAATGAATGATACTAGTGGACCCCATTTTATGTGAAATAAAATATATCACATTAGCATGTTTATAAGAATAGTAATCAAAGTAAACATGAAGTAGAATTTTAGAATCAAATGAAAGAAATTCAACATATCTTAAATTAGTAAGAATTAGGTTGATATTACATGAAAATTAAAAGTTCCAATGCTGCAGCTACAGGGGTTCTGTGGCTCCTCCAGAAGTGAATAATTCACTACTGATAAGTCATTACAAAGGAATTATGATTTGATTAAAGACAACTAGAAAAGGACTAGAAACAACAACTTGCAAAAAAGTTCCTAGGGAAAAGGAACTATAGGGCTGGGGTTGTAGCTCAGTGGTAGAGCGCTTGTCTCACATGTGTGAGACCTTGGGTTCAACCCCCAGCACCATGTAAAAATAAAAATGAAAATATTGTGTCCATCTACAACTAAAAACAATATTAGAAAAAAAAGGAACTATAGCTATTTAACTGTATTCACATTTTTATGACACTGAGAATTAGGTCTAAGTAACTGAGGTATCATACAAAATGTTATGTATCTGTTAAATTTTTAAAAAGCAGTCTTTACATTTCCCTTAAATTTTTCAGAATTTTTGTTACTGAAGTACTTTAGTAAACAAAAAAAATGAGTTAAAAATTCTTTAAATTTTCCTCAATTACAATGTACTGTTATTTCAGAATAATCAAAACATTTTAAGTGTTTTTAAAGACTAACAAAACTATTTTAAAACACTTTTTTAAAAAAAGTTGTATAAAAATGCTCAACATCAAAAATTATCAGGAAAATGCAAATCAAAATCAGCAAAATAAACAAAACAGTAATGAGGTAACATCTCACCCATTTAGCATGGCTATTATATTAAAAAATAATAATATTAATAAATGCTGGCCAGGAGGCAAAAACAGGGAAACTCTCAAAAACTGCGGGTGAAAATGCAGACATTAAGGAAAACAATACGGTGGGGTTCCTTTACAAAACTGCCGTATGATCCAGAAATCCCACCTACAAGTATATGTCCAAAGGAAATAAAATCCATGTTGAAAAAACATCTACACTCACATGTTTACTGTAGTATCATTCATAACAGCTAAGATATGGAATAAACTTAGGGGTATATTGATAGATGAATGGTTAAAGAAAATGCAGTATGTGTCTGTGTATATACATACATGTACGTGTGTATACACACACACACACACACACACGGAATATTATTCAGGCATAAAACAAATGAAATACTTTCCTTTATAGCAACATGGATGGAACTGGGGAACATTATTTTAAAGTGAGATAAGCTTGACACAGAAAGATACTGCACATTCTTACATATATGTGGAAACTAAAATAATTGATCTCAAAGAAGAACAGGGTACAATTTGGTTACAGAACCTGGGAAGAATTTGGGGTGGGAGGAATAGTGTTAATGGTGCAACTGGGTTGGCAGAATGATTTAATGCACAGGAGGATAACTTTGGTGAACAACAATTAATTGAATGTTTCAAAATAGCTACTAGACTCACAAATTAAAAGTAGCCTCCAATTTAATATTCTCTTCTAGTTACTATGATCAAGCAAGTTTAAGAGTAGCTATATTTACTGCTCTAAATTCCACAATTCTCAATTGCAGCTTCCCAAAATACCAGAATTTGATTTTCAACCTATTACTCCAATAAAATTTTACCTTGAAGATGTTTCTAATACTCTTATTATGAATTCCAAATCAAACAGTCACTTCTAAGACTTTATTTGACCCCTCTATAGCAGCTGGCAACATGAAACACTCTTGTTATGCTGAAATGTTGGAGCTTCTAAATGGAACTATGCTGGACTTTCATTTCATTTTATATCCTCTTTCTATTACACCAACTGTCATCCATGAGCTGAACAGGCCCAAATTCTTTTGGCTAGCCAAGACTAACATGTACACCAGAACTGGAATTTAGTTATCAATATGTACATATTCATACACCATATTCATATACCTCAAACTCAATATTCAAAAACTGAATTCATAATCTTTCTTCCTCCTCATATCTGGTTAACTGTATCTTTTTTTATCTAGCTGGAATTTAAAATGAGACTTTTCTCTAGGTTTATAATTTATACTGGCTTATTGCAGTAGGTAAGCCAATTCAAATCCTTCCTTTCCCATTGTTAAAATAAGGGCAATCATGCCACTCCCCATCTAGTCTACCTGGAAATCAGTAAAAGATGTGAATTATATTTAAATGCTTGATTAATCTGAAAGAATTCAAAATTCTTTCTTGATGCTTAAAAAAAGAAAAAAGTTACATGTGGTCAACCTCAGAGCAACAGGATCCTAGGAACTATTTCTTTCAACCTTGAACTCACCGTATCTAGAAGTTAAAAATTCCATTGTATTAGGGTTGGTAATAAGTATCATAGCTTAAATTAATTTTTCAGGATTATTAATTATTATTATTAATTTATCATTGGACAGATGACCAAGAAAGATTAGAATAAAGCTATTTAAACTATAATCATTTAAAATTATGTTTCTGTAATAACAGGATGATTTTTTTAATATATATGAACATATGAACATCTACTTGTTATGTTTAAGATAGAATGGAGACATAAAAAGAAGATTCAGTTCTTGCCCTCAATAAATTGTTATCTAGTTGGAAGATACTAACTTCACAGAAACAGTATGCCATAAAAGCATATAAGTGTCATCAGTACTATTATACAAACATTTCCAAATTAAGAAGCATCTTAGCAAGGCCCTGCTTCAAAATAAAAAATAAAAAGGGCTTGGTATGTGGCTCAGTGGTCAAGTGCCCCTGGGTTCAATCCCTGGTATCGCCCCCCCAACCCCCACTCCGAAAAAAAAAGTAAATAAAATAATAGACTTAAGTTGCCGAATTTCTTGGGAAAAAGAAACAAACCATAATCAGGTAATGCAACAGAGAAAAGAGTTTTATATTCCCAATTAAATTTTCAAATAAAATGTTACATAAAGCAAGACTCTCCCTACTTCACAAGCCCCTTACTTACCTTTACTCGGGACTGATTTTTTCACTGAGGCCACATGATCTTCAGAGATTGCAAGACGCCTCAAAACATCAGCAAGAGCTGCCTTTAGCACAGTGATTTCATCTTCTTGTTGTTGAACTCGTAATTCAAGAGCTGAGAGGCGATCTTGAACATCCGAAGTACTTGCAGCAGAAATACTATCATCTAAAAAATAAAATATTGAACATTTAAAAGATATTCTGCTTGAAAAAGAATCTCTTTCTTCTAAGAAAAACTACGCCAAGGTAAGTTTGGCTTTTTTTTGTTTGTTTGATAGCAGGAATTGAATCCAGGGACACTTTTAATGGTGAACTACATTCCTAGTCCTTTTTATTTTGAAGCAAGGACTTGCCAAGTTACTGAGAGTCTGCCTAAATTGCTATAGCTGGCCTTGAACTTGCAATCTCCTGTCTCAGCTTCCTGGGTTGCTGGGATCAGATGCATGCCACTGGGCCCAGCCCAAGGTAAATCTTTTTAAAAAGACGATAAAAATTAAAACAAGGACAACTCTAACATGTTTACACAGAATTACTATATAGATTAACATCTATAAAGATTTTCATAGTATTTTAACTAATTTAAAATAATAATAAAAGTTTTTAAATTTGTCAAATAATTAAAATGATGAAAATCTTCCCCAAGGTCAAGCCTCCTCCTCTTTTTGTGTGGTACTGGGGATCAAAGCAGGGCCTCATGCATATAAGGCAGGTACTCTACCACTGAGCTATAACCCTCACCCCAATTTTCCCCTATTTTTACACTATCCCCTTAGTTGGTTTTCTCACCAAAATGTTCTCTAAATATGTCAAAATTTGAGTTTAGAAGTGAGGGGGGGTGACCTCCAATTCTATTATCATAACATTATGAAGCAGTAAACAATATTCATGTTGAAGATCATATATATCAACAGGCTTCCCAGACATATTTCCATGACAATCTGATACTGAAGGAAAGATGGGTTTTAAATTTAATTCAGATGCCAAGTTCTGATTCTGTATTACAGTGACTTTGGCTCTCTGAGCCTCAATATCTTCATCTTTAAATGGGATTGCTCTAATGAAGACATTTACATAGTACAAAAGGTATAATTTGAGAGCTTTGACTACATTCACTATACAAGGCAGACAAAATCTATAGCATGCTTAAGAAAAGGACTAGTAAGAGCAATTCAGTCTCTCACCTTAGAATTTTTATACGTGATATCTTTCATTTCCATGGTAGTTAAGCTCAATTCTAGTTGATCCATACTTTTAGACCATGATCACTATTATTTCTTCCCAAAATGCTTTTCTATTTTCTGTCTAATAGGAAAAAAAGCAGACTTCCTCTTTTGTGAAGCAACATTTGGGGAGAATGGGGGTGTACAAAGGATTGAATCCAGGTGCTTAACTACCGAGCCACATCCCAGCCCTTTTTAATATTTTATTTAGAGACAGGGTCTCGCTAAGTTGCTAAGTGCTGAGGCTGGCTTTGAACTTTCGATCCTCTTGCCTCAGCCTCCTAAGTTACAGCACTGCGCCTGGCATGAGGCAACCTTTTTTTTTTTTTTTTTTTTCTGGTTGTATATAAAGTACATTCACACCAATTTGTGTATTCATTCATGTACTTTGGAGTTCATCACATTCCACCATCATTTCTAACCCCCTGCCCCCTCTCTTCCCCTCCAACCACTCTGTCCTATCTAGAGTTCATCTATTTCTCCCATGCTCCCTCTCCCTACCCCACTATGATTCAGTCTCCTTATTATCAGAGAAAACATATGGCATTTGTTTTTTTGGGGATTGGCTAACTTCACTTAGCATTATCTTCTTCAGCTCCATCCATTTACCTGCAAATGCCATGGTTTTATTCTCTTTTATTGCTGAGTAACATTCTATTGTGTATATATGCCACATTTTTTTTATTCATTCATCTACTGAAAGGCATCCAGGTTGGTTCCACAGTTTAGCCATTGTGAATTGTGCTATAGCAGCACAATTTTTAAGGTCCTATTTGGGCTGCCAACTTATGATGCCTCATACCCACTTCTACCACCCCATAAATGAGGTTGAACAATATTAGATGGCCTAAGTTTTGGTATCAATTCACTACTATCAATTTCAAATGGTTCAATCTAATATTACTAATATTATTTTAGTATCAACTGACTACTATCAGTTTCAAATGGTTCAATCTAATATTACTGTAAGAGTAGTTATGAGATATTAAGACAAATGGAGACTTGCTAAATTTCCCAGAGAGGTGTAGCCCATTTTCCCTCTTGGTTCACTGAGAGGCTCATTGTAAGGATATAGCCCTAGGACTGCTGGTAGTAAAGAAACTTTTGACTACCCCGAGTTCCAATTCTAGCCTCTGAAACCTTGGATCTATTTTCACAACCAGTCTAGTGGTCTGGCACTATGGCGCGTGCCTCTAATGCAAGCAACTCAGGAGGCTGAGGCAGGAGAATTGCAAGTTCAAAGTCAGTCTCAGCAACTTAGTGACAACCTAAACAACTTAGTGAGACCCTATCTCAAAATAAAAAATAAAAAAAGGGCTGAAGCTGTGGCTTGGTGGTTAAGCATCGCCGGGTTCAATCCCTGGTACACAGAGACACACACACAGACACAGAAAGAACCAGTCTAGTTCTCTTCCCAGCTATTATATAATCTAACAAATTGACTCTTTGCAAGCTATCACTCTTGTAAAAGTCAAAGGTCCGGATCAAGTCAGTAATCTATGTGAATATGCCTAAACTGTTCTCCATTTATGAAAGATGAGGTATAATTTAATAAATACATAATCTGCTTAATTCTTTTGGGAAGCAGGGCTTGGTGGTACAGCCTGTAATGCCAGGAACTCAGACGGCTGAGGTAGGAAAATTGAAAGTTCGAGTTCAGCCTAGGCAACTTAGCAAGACCCTGCCTCAAAATAAAAAATAAAAAAGGCTGGGGATCTAGCTCCATGGTAGAGCACCCTTGGGTTCAATCCCCAGTACCCAACCCTGAAATCTTTTGGGAAGCCAGAAGAGCCTAGTGTTAAGATTATCAGACTATAAAGTTAAGGTTATAATACTAGGTTTTAGTATCAACTTAATGTTTATCTTTGGCAAGTCACTTAAGTTTTATGGACTCTGATTTTATTTTCTTTTTAATGACTAAGGTTTTTATTTTGTGAAACATGAAAGGTGATTCCACTTGTAAAAATCCTACCCCAACTTGATAGACACTGTGGAAGGACCCAAGGAAATTTTTCAAAGACTATAATAAGGCACAAAGTTAACTATTAAAAATGTCCTGTGTTTGTATCATATCTTTCATATTTATTACCTCATCCCCTTCCTACACAGTCTATATTTTATATTTGAGGAAACAGCTCAAGAAATTAAGTAACTTGCCCAAGGTCACCAAACCAGTCTTATGTAAGACTCAAACACCAGTCTCTTGACTCCCAATTTAAATGCCCTTTATTTTATTTCTTGCCATGTTCTAATAATAATCACAAGAAGATTAAGTAAATGTATCTTTTTCATAAAGTCATAGAAGGAGTTTAAACTACTGAATGATATAAACATATTTTTATTTTAAAAAGGTCATTTGGCTGTGTTGTGTGAAAATGGACTGGTACAGACTAAGAATAAATGCAAGAAGTCCAGACAGGGGGCTGCTGCAATAACCCATACAAAAGGTGATGGTTTCCTCAGTTAGGGTGAATAAATATGGACAAATACTCTGCTACCTCAGTATAAGTATTATTAGAATACCTCCCTCTTTCACTCACAAGTTCTCTAGTTCAGATGACCAATTAAAGGATTATTTTCACTAAAGCAAAAGCAATAGAAGTTAAAAGGAGCATAGAAGTGCATCTCTGCAATTTCTGATAGCCCTAAATCTCTATAATTCCTATAGCTCTAAATCTCTGTAATTCCTTCCTGTCTAAATCTCAATTCTTAACATTTTCAAGGGCATGAATCTGAGAATCTGTAAAAGCTTTGATAAAATAGTACATTTTGGTGTTTCAATGAATAAATATGCTTGCTTTTTACTGGCTATAACTGGTTTACCCACATTTAATCTCCTCATGCTAATTAATTCTTACTGCTATATAGGTAGGGTTCCATTGAGTTACTATTCCATAGTGATGTTCTTACTGCCCTGTTGATTACTGCCACAAAATCAGAAATGGCCTAAAGTCCACAGAATACTATGCAACAATAAAAAAGTAGGTATATAAGCTAAAATTCTGAAAGATCTGTAAGACAATTTAAGTAAAATAAGCAAACTGCAAAGCAATACATACTGAATGACTTACTAAAACGAACACACATGCACTGAAAACACCTCTAAAAATAAATAAATAAAGCAGGCATGCCTCTAAGCCCACCTACCACAAAGACTGAAGCAGGAGGATCACAAGTTCCTGTCTAGCCTGGGCAACTTAAACTTAGCGAGATCTTGTCTCAGAAATTAAAAGGGCTATAGATGTAACTCAGTGGTAGGGGCATCCCTAGACTTAATACCCTATACCATAAAACGGGGGGGAAGTGAACAACAATTAAAAAAAAAAACAACCCAAACCTTCATATTTATATAGATATGCAATACACACAGAAAAAGCACATATTTCAAACTGGTAATTGGGTTACCTCTGATTTGGAAGATCAGATTAGGAGGGTAGGAATAAAATGAAAATTTTGCCTTTCGGCTTAAGTAACTCTAAATTATTCAAATTCCACAATACAAGGGTATCATGTGTTAATTATACACTTCATTTAAGTTAAAAAGCACTGCCTCTAAGCCTTGAGTTCTTAAGGCAACTTTTCACTAGGCACAGTGAAAAAAGAACAATATAATAAAACACAATTAACTTAAACTTGCATTCAGAGATTACTAAAGCTAGAACAAAAACTATTTTGAAGTCCAACAATTTTCTTCATCATTTTATAGACAAGCAGGTACACCAAGCTCTTTAGAAATTAGGTAAATTTACCATGGTCAAAAGCAAATTGAGGTTAGAACTTCTGCTGATGACTCTGTTCCATTGCTCCCTTTTCATTTTGAAAACTCCTCTTCCAATCTTAACGTACCACACTCTCATTCACGATAAACGTTTTAGGAATACATCTGTACAGTAAATAGAATATATCCTTTTATATTTTTTGGGGGGGGTGGCACTAGGAATTGAAC